AAATAATATATATAATTATATATATTGTCTTTGCAAAGATAAAAAAGTGATTTCAGCTGAATCTCTCTTTGACAACAAGTATGAATTAGGTTATGTAGTTAAGAGCATCTTTAAATGTAATTTTAAATTCCCAACTTTTAATAGGCTTAAAGCTTCACTTCCTCAAAACTGTATGGTTTTGGGGTTTTTTTTTGGCCACCAAATCCCTCATCGTAGTTATGACCTAGAGGTTTAAAAAAAACCCCTATTTTGTTTGGAAGTAAATGAAATGTTTTGAAGTGTTCTGGTTTGTTCTTTCCTTCAAAATGTTGATTTCGGCAATCTGTATTGAAAAGTTAAAATAATAGATAGTTGAGAGACCCAGATAGCATTAGCCTTTTGGAAAGTCTCTTATGTTCGTAGCCCAATTGTCCTGAACCAGTAATAAACTGCACCTGCCCTACCGTCAGAGGTAAGCTACCTAACCTGTAAAATGGGCACTACCTCCGTGAGATTTTAGACGCCTCTTCTCTTTTTTACAGTGCTGTGTAAGACTTAACTGATCTGCCACCGCTCATTAAACTGGCCCTGATATTCACCTGATAATTCCTGTTGCAGGCAGGCCCTGCTGACACGATGTAGTACGAAATCGAGCCACACAGAATTTCTAATATGCACCTCTTGCTTTTAATCTAGAGACACAGAAATGACAGGAGAACTTTTAAGTAGAAGCACGGTTCATGTTGATGGCCTCATAACAGAAAAATAATTTTGCAAAGCTTCACTGGGTAGTCCCTCTACCATTTAATATGTCTGTATGTAGAACAGTGTAATCCGAGTTCATGCAAGTATTCACTGTTGACTGATGGATTTTAATGTATATTCAAAGTTCTGTGTAATATGAAAATCTCAGATATATGCGTTGTATATAAAGGACTGTGTTTTCTTCATGTTCGTGTGTGTATGTAAACATGCTAGGAAAAACTTCAGCACGTGTTAAACACTCATCGTCACACTTGCACTGCACATAGACAAAAGACATGCTCCTTCAAATGTTTTTCTTCACGTTTTTTATATTTTTAACTCTCGGTCATCACAATTTTTCTGTAAAGATGACGAGAAGGTAACTTCCACAAAGCACTGTGTGATTCAACTCTAGTTTCTGGAAACTTCTTTGCAGTTGTTCTGTCGAGTGTGGGAGTGATTGAATTTCTGGGCCTTTGCATGTATGGTAATTTTGCTGAAAATAAATGTTTGCGATTTAATAGTCTTATATGTGTGGTTTTATTTTTTCACTTTTTAGGTGCCTTGAATTTCAATGCTGATGCTGCTGATTCCATTCCAGGAGAAGGACAACCTACAGATATAAACTCGGTAAATAAAGATAGGAAAGACACTACCAGTGATCAGAACAGAAGTAATTTACCACTTCCTAGTCTGTCTTCTGAAAGAGGTACAGATTATGAAAGCTCTTCCACAAAGCGTCATGGCTTGTGTAATCCAGAAAATCAGTATGGGAATTGCGAAGACTTCCACCAATATTTTGGTACCAGTAAAAGTTCAAAGAATCGCAACTTGCAAAGCCAGAGATGGCACAGATCAAGAAACGATAGCACATGTACTAGAAGTAAGATGAGTCAAAGTACTGCTGATGCTGCTGCAGTTCCAGGAATTTCTGATGCTGTAGTAGTGCCTGGGAGAAGAGCACCTCCTAGAGGATACAATGACTTTTTCTCCTCGGAGAGTGACAGGGAGGTTCCTAATGCAGATAGCAGAGGAGCAAAGCCAAAGAAAACACATGTGACGCATGCCTCTGGAAGAGGTTTCAGGGAGAAGGGAAAGCAAGTACATGAGCGGGAAAAGAGAGTGATGTCTAAACAGAAAGTAGGGCTGTTTGAAAATGTTCCATCTCTGGATTTGACTCAGTCTGACTCTTCGGAATCATCTGTTGGAAAAGCATTCTGTGATGTACCTTTTGGTAGCGGGGATGAGCAGAAAGGCTACAATTATGTGAACAAAAGATATCCCCGGAAGCCTGTGTGGAATAAACCCCCAGCAGAAAAGGAGTCTCAGAAAAGACATGATTCTTACTGTAGTAAAAACACAAAAGTAGGTAAGAAGTCTTCTCTTGCACATACTCCAAAAGATAAAAATGAGAAGAAGAAAGAACTCTCTGTTCACAAAAGTGATGAAAACTTTACCAACGAAATCAGGCCTCAATTGTCTGATTCTGTCAGATGTAATGGAAGAAAGTTCTTGCTAAAGGGGGATCAGACACCTGCACTTCATTTCAGCTGGACCCAGTACTGGAAAAAGCAAAGTGATGTACCAAAAAACAAAGAAACTCATACAGGTAAGCTTTCTAGACTGTCCTGTACTCCTATATTAAAGGTACGATCTTGGATAATTTAAACTGCCTTCACGTTTGACTAGCTGAAAAGGATTATTGCTTTACATTAGGTCAGTATCAGTTTCAGGGGGCAGAATGAAATGTAAATGTGTGGTTTCTGAGTGGGGAGGTGTTCTGTAAGTTTACTAGGGAAGAACAGATTTTATTTAAGGGGGTTTTTGTTTTGCTGCCAAACTGCAAATGGTGGCCTGGTCAGGCACCACGTTAAAACGTGTGTTGTGGGAGCGGGGAATAAAATTCTGAGCATTCTGAACAATGAGACTTGAGATGGACATTCCTAAAATGGATTTTTGCAGAATAAGTTCTCTCATGTTTTCTGTAGTAGAATGCCAGATAAATGAACTGTATTCTGCTCCTAAATGGATTTTTTTTTCTCTCTTTTGCAATGGTAATATCAAAAGGTGATTAGAAATAGAGAAAGTCTCTGGATACTGTTTTTGGAAGTTGAGAATAGAAACATGTGCCGTTGACAGTGTAAAGCAGGCCCACAGGTTTTGAGTGTCTAAATGAATTTTGTGGCATGTCATACTCTTAGGGAGTTAAAACATTGAATGGAAATGGGCTGAATCTCTTCAGTGCCACAGTACTGGTTTCCATTTCTCCAGGTATTGTTTAACCTAGGTAGCTTTCTCTTACTGTTTTAGATAAACTTAAGTGTGCACTGAGAAAATAGTTTTGTTATTCATAGCACCTAGCAGAAGAGCTACTTTCTTTCAGAGGCAATAAGGAGAGAGATTTTCCCTTTTTTTTTTTTGTTTTGTTTTGTTCCTTTCCAGTTGAACAAACACTAAGGTTTTTACAGAACATCTCAACCTCATCTCCTGCTGCTCAGAATGATAGAGACAGGTAGACTGGTTCCTGTTAGCTTAACTGGGGTATTGAATCTTTTGAAGATTTTGCTTCTCAGGGTCTCTTCTCTGTCAGAGCTGAGAAAGTGGTAGCAACATTGGGAAGCGTAAGGTAGCTCCAGTCAGAAACTTTGTTTCTTCAGGAGAAGCTCAAGGATCAAGATCCTCCTTGATCCTTTCTAATTTAAATACATGAACTTCCATGCTCCTGGGTTCTACTTGAATCACAAAATTAAAGATCTTATTAAATTAAAAACATCATATGCAATAAGCAGAAAGAGAATTAATAATCTTTTACAGGGAGCTTAAGGAATTTACACCTCAAAAATGGCAGTGTTTCTTTGCATGCTTTGCTTGGGAGCTATTTTGTATCTGCCACTCTTTTCAGGGGACTGACTGTGCATTTTAACTATTTATGGGACAGCTGTCCTTTCTGAGTATGGTGTAGCTTTGGCCTTCTGGAGAAAAGAAGTACGTTTTAGGTAGAGATGCTTTCTTTGCAGCAGGTAATATTCATGGGGTACTGAAAGCAAAAATGACTGTTCATTCTAAATCTTGCGGTGCTTGATTCAGGAGGGCTGGAAAAGAAGCTTGAAAGTGCTGATATCCTATTAAGCAGGGTTAACAGTGTTAACACTTCCAAGTTGCCACGCAACCCTGGGCTTGCTTTTAGTCATGTGTGGTACAGGTACATGTTGAATTGATAGTAATTTTTCTTCTGTTATTTTCATTTTTTTTTGTCCTTCATTATAAATTCTATATTATAGTGCCCTTATATTGGCACTATCTAAAAATGTTACATTTTTACTCTTGTAATTAAGATACCTTAAATTTCTGTGGTCATAGATCAAATAGAATTTCTACGGTGTATTGGGTAGGATGGGAGAGTTGCTCTGGCAGAACTGAAGTTACTGCTGCCTTTGTTATGGTTACGCATGTAAATGTGTTTTCAGGATGTTTTGTCTTTCATTTGGAGTTCTTGCTTTATTTTCAAAATACTTTTTCACATTCTTTCATATGGCTCAAGAGGCCCTGTACTTTGACTTTTGTTTCCCTAATTCCACTCCTAAAGCAGTCAGTTTATGATGCGTTTATTTGTATAATCCAGGTGCTTTACTGTTAGTATTTGTTGTGTGGTGTTCCAGGAATACTTGAGGACGGGAATTAAGTTTAATTTTGGCTGAAACTTCTGTAGTTACGAGCTTTTTGCTTTAAGCTTTATGGAAAGATAAATTCTGTATATAAAGTGATAAGTAAAATCTCAAACTTCTGCCAAGGTTAAAACTATTAACTAATTTGTAAGATCAGAATGATCTTAACATCACCATTCATCTGATTTATCAACAGGAATTACTGTTGTCACTTTTGTAGGAATCTCATACTCCCTCTTCCTGCTCTGAAACTTGAGAATTGCGTACCAAGTATCAAACTGCAATCTTCCTTGCTCTACCTTGCTCATGGCCACACAGGAAAAAAAAAGTTCTGTTTTAATTTACATGAGATCTTGGAATTTCATTTGAATTTTGTTTCTCAGCTAGCTGATACTTCACGCACAATTAATATATTTTATTTGCAGGGTCACTGATTGAACAGCTGACCACAGAGAAGTACGAGTGTATGGTATGCTGTGAGGTGGTCCGAATAGTAGCCCCAGTGTGGAGCTGTCAGAATTGTTATCATGTATTCCACTTGAATTGCATTAAGAAGTGGGCACGATCGCCGGCTTCCCAAGCTGAAGGTTAGTATTCTCTCTCGTATACACTTTCTTTCTTAAATATATATAATACTGAATGAAAAGCTCAACATGAGCCAGCAGTGTGCGCTTGCAGCCTAGAAAGTCAACCGTATCCTGGGCTGGAGGAGGCTTTGAGCAACCTGGTTTTAGTGGAAGGTGTCCCTGCCCGTGGCAGGGGGGTTGGAACTTGATGATCTTTAACGTCCCTTCCAATCCAAACCATTCTGTGATTCTATTCAAAGAATTGTATTCATTCAGTGATTCTAGCAAAGTACATGTGTTTCTTATGTTGGAAAACTACTTGTAAATATTGTCTAAGGTTGCCAGTAAGCTGTATCCAAAGCAAATTTTAAATAAAAAATTGGGTTTTTTAGGGTTCTTTGGATGCTTTGTATAATCCTCCTAACTGTTTTGATTCTTTTTAGTATTCTAGCTTAAACTGATTTTCAGGTTTGGATACATAAGATCACTCAGTGAAATCGGTGCATCAAGATGCAAAGGTCTATGGCTGTGTTTTTACTCACCAAGAAATGTCTCATCTTCTCATCTGTGCTTGGCTGAGCAGTCAGACAGAAGCAAGCATTAGTTGTCCGCTTTTACTCAACCACTTCTTAGTTCTGTTCTCAGTTAAAGTATTCATGAAATTTGTCACTAGTGCCATGCAGTGAAATGAAATTCAGAAAAGACAAAAGCTTCTGCTTTTCTCATTAGCTTAAACTGTTCGTAATTCTTTGTGTTATGGCACTTTTTCAAACTGTTATACCACTACTTTCTGCCCTTTAAATGCTTTGTTGTAAGTAAAGGCTGTATTGCAGCCTCTCTGCTGTGTTCAGTTGTGTGATGTTGACCTACTCTAAAGACTAATGTTAATCAGGAAATAGGGTTAATTTTTTCTGTACCCTGCTTGTTTAGCCTTTACCATTTTTCATGTGTCTTTCTGTCTCTCTCTGGGCAGGCTGAAGAAATATAGCCTGTCAGCTACTTTCAGATGTTTGAGAGAAGTTCTTACAGACTATATAAGTCTCTTACAGAAAGGATTTGTTGCCATGTTCTTGAGTTTCTGAAGATGCATAGTCGTCTGGGTAGGACTAGTCATGCTTCATACTGGCAGTAGAAAGGAAGTTACAAATACCAGCACAAGATTTGAAACATAAAGGCATTGTAATGTTTGAGAAGGGAACAGATTTTTTGTTAAGACTGAGATGATAAGCCAAAATGAGAGTGATTGCTGAGAACTTTTATCTGTTTCTCTGTCACCTTTGGAGCTGATTTATCTCCCTGAAACAACTTGTTGCTTGATCAAAAGAATATCTGCTTGTGTAAGGAAGGTTTTGCTTATCTGTCAAGAGAGTGACCTTAGATCATTGAATCCTGATAGCATTTCAGATAGCCATATCGTTTGGCCATTTGTTTTTCTTATAAGAATTAGTGGAGTAAATGTGTTACTGTATCCTATATATGAGAGAACTTGAGCTAATCATTAATTGAATTCAAGGTGGTGGCCTCAGTAGAACTGATTCCATAGCTCCTGTAAGGACACTGATGTATATTTCTTGACCTGTAAGGCCCTGCTACCCTGTCTTGGTTAGACCATGTACTTTAGAGTGTATTTGTTTTATGGTAGGTTGTTTCAATGTAGATTCTACTTTTCAGGCTTTGTATAATGTTGAGGAATACACTAGAACCCTGGCAATAATTATTGTCTACCAGAAGAGAAATAGGACACTGTAATCTACCTAACTCAGTAATTCACTGTTTTTCTGGAAGAGGAAAAAAACATTTTTTTTCTGGACACAATTTACTTTAAATCTGTTCAGTTCTGCAAATGTTACAATGAATTCCAGTCAATTTTATCTCATCTCAACACCTAAACTTTTCACTGCTACATTTCACTTCCAGCCTAATGAGAATATTTTGTTCATAACATCAGTTTTGAGTGTTCATTTTTCTGTGTTTTTGAAGCAACTATGTGTTGAATGTCCTTCTACTGAGGCCTTACAGCAGCTCTTCTTTCTATGGCACGTAATAGGATGCTGAAAGTGTGTGTGTGTACATAATTTCTCACAATTTTTCCTGATCACGGCATTGTATCAGAGAAATCCTGAATACTTGAATGAGGTAGATAACATCCTTGGTGGGGTATCTTCTCTTGTAGTTCTGTCTTACAGATCAATGGTAATGGGTCTGTGTTATGAAGGAAAAGCAGGTGCAGATCCCTCGGGGGCAAGGCACAACTCTCAGCAAATGAAAGCTTTGGCTTTAATGGAAGTGTAGCATTACCATGGTGGGAGCCCCAGGACACCAACACTAATCAAATGGGGACCCCACGCAACAGAACCCTGTATGAAGCTCAAAGGAATGCACCACAGGGATGGATAATAAAACTTGCACTGATTAACAGATTGTACATATGTAATTTCCTCTGTCGCTCAATAGCAAACTTGCTGATGTAATGCAGGTGGTGTTGTCCCAGTTCCAAGATCCACAGGTGGCTGTTGGTACCCGTGCAGAGGTGGTGCAGATGAGGGGGTGAGCCGAACTACCCTGGGTTACCGTGTCAATGAGATAAAACGTGCTTGGGACTCTATATATTTGGGTGGGAAGAAGCAAAGAACTACCCTAGGTTAGTGTAGCAAAGTCTTCTCGTACCCTACAGTATCTCTATTCCTGGGGACTCTTTCAGATGTGTTTCACTGAAGGTGTCTTCTTTCAGAGACTTCTTTGCCTTCTATTGTCTTGATGGTCATTTGAAAAATAACTTTTAGTTTGGCCAAGCCAGGTGAAAGAATCTCCTGATTATCTATGGGGAGTCAGAGGGCATTGCTCTGTTCTTGTTCTGCCTACTTTAGACTTGTGGTTGACATCCAATGTTTAGTGTTTCTCCACTGCAGACTGTCAGTGGCACTCAGAACTAGAGAATGGATTTTCATGGTGTATTAGAGTTGTCCTGGTCAGGAGAAGGAGCTCTGCTAGGCATCACTTTGCCATCGTGCGGAAAGATTCTTTCCTATGTAACTTTCTCCTTAGCAAGCTTTTTTATTAGTGACCTTTTGGTATTGCACAGCTAAGGTCGAGCTGATAAAAATACCTGCATTGCACACAAGATGTTTTACTTTATGTTTGTAAAGAGGAAATTGTTGTCTCTTGCCCCCTTCCTCCTTCTGAAAAAAAGGATGCTTCAATGATATTTGACTTGTGCCCTTACATTGATGGAACAAAATTTTAAGCAATTTCCTCCCTTCTTTGCAGGGAAGGTAGTTTTACTGGTATTTTCATTTTGGCTGAAAGGGTTGGAGATATTTGAGTTACTACAACTGTCTCTTTCTGTTCTGCTCCCTATGCTGTACCTGCCCTCCACTTCCAGATGAGATAGCAGTCTGTGCCAATCCAGTATTGGCCTCTAAGAGTTTCAGTGATGAGAATATGAATATGAAAAAAAGTGCCTTTTTTTCTTTTGTTGCCTTTTTTTTTTTTTTTCTTAAGGGGTGCTGTGCAAGGGCTGAAGCCATTCTGTGTGCCTTGGATATTACACAAATGTTGTCACTTTTTTGTTACTGGGGTAAGAGCTTTTGATTGTGGCTAGCTGAGAAGTCAAAATAATTTATTCTGATACATCTTATCTCATTGGAAAACTGCGCAAGACTTGTTAGAAATGGTAACATGAAACTGCCTGTGTTGATTCTAGTATATCCTCCTACAGCTGAAGTGACTGAAATCTTCTGTTTGGAGTTTTTTTTATGTATTGTATGTATTGATCAATACATTGATTATGTATTATTGTATATTTGTTGAAAATTTCTGCTGTACTGCTGCCTTTGGAAATGTAGCCGTTTAACATCCACTCTTTATTCCGGTAGATGTGTTTGGATCCTTTCTTATGTAATCATCTATGACTCATCTAGGCAAGCATGTAAAAAGGAAAGTTGCTTGTTTGAAACTGCACGTAAAGATCACTAGTCTGTATATGTAGTTCCCAGCTCTTCCTGCTCAAGGTTCTTTTGAGCCTCTTAATCCTTTAGGATTCTGGAAACTGAGGAGACCGTGCGTTTATGACAACAGGTATGCAATAGGAAATGGAAGGATTCTGGGCACACTACAAGAAGTAAAGATTTTTGTGACTGAAAGTGCTACAAATAGGGACCCTTGCAATATGAAAGTGTATGGAAAAAGGTTTAGTAAATAATTACAAGTAGGGAATCTTTTTATCTTGGAGGGAGATAATAGCAAATACTAAAACAGTCTCTAGTAGATGAGAGTGAGGTGCGTTGATTTTGCTTAAGCGACTGTCCTTTTGTTGTCTTTGGTTGGAGTTGTGCCTACTTCGCTCCTATTCATGAGGGTGTTCATCCTGTAGGGTCATCCCCATTCTCACTTTCTTCAGTAATCAGGATTTGTAAGGAGTTACAGAGCCACTCCTTATAAACGTGGATGTCACGAGTCATCCTACTGTCGTTCTACCATAATTGCATGTGAATCCAGGAAGAAAACTTGTATTTCATATGTTTTTGGAGGAAAGCAACCATGCATGTTCCTTATGGGTAGACCCACATGAATGTAGTTATGTCTTAGAGAAGCAAAGGATAATCAGTGATTAAGAAGAACAAAATATATCTTGAAAGGCTGTTTTACTTGATAAAAGGTTCCTATTTTACAAGGACCCTCACTATACTCTAGAGAAACTGTTGCTTGTAGAGGACTAAGCATCCTGATGTTGGAGAGATGTTGGTTGGAGAGATGTTGATAGGAGAGGGCTTCTGCGGGCCTCTTGAAGCTTTGATGATAGGCTTACATTCACAGCTTTTGAAAAAACATAACATGGAATAACAATAAAAGAAATGATGTTGTTGATGTGATAGTTAAGTATACTGTACAAAGTAATCCTGTAGGGAATCCCTTAGGGTTTAGTATGATAGCTTTCGGAGGAGCCACATAAGGTACCAAGTACTGAGAAGCATAGGTGTGCTTTAGATTTTCCTTTCAAGAGTATGAGGGCAGCCTGTAATCTGGATCATCTGTAGTTTGTGAAAATCATCCTTGGGCGTTATGATGGTTAACATAAGAAGTCTCCAATCCAATTGGCAGTGAACCGAAGTGTGCCTGTCACTCCAGTGCAGTTTTCCTGTCACACAGGGTCTCCTATTGGCAATACCGCCTGCATTCCAGGAAAAAATGAAAATGTCTTGGTCAGATTTCTTGATTGTGAAGAGCTGGTCTCAAATCACAGCTTTATTAATTTACCAGCACTGAATTGATTGGTTGAGACAGTTAGAGCTAATCAGTTTATGGATTTTTTTTTATATTTCTGTATATAGATATTAAAAAAAAAAATATCTCTCTCCTCCCTGCCCCATTTTGTGTTCATTAGAGCTCACACTGATATTCTTCACAGCCAGGTATGTTCTGAATTTGGGAAACATTGTCATGAATGTTGCTTTCCTTACACTGAAGTTCTTCCTTTACTGCTAACCAACATCCTTCTGAAACGCAGCAGCACAAAAAGTACTATTTAATAAAATACTCACTTGAAGAATAATGTCCTAGTCAGTACCTAGGTTTTTTTCATCTTTCCATTAATTAAAGTAGATTATTCTGGTTTATGTAGCACTAATTTATTCTGGACATGAAGCAATACTAAATTGGTTTTCTACAAGACACATAGACTCGTTAAATGAGAGAAGGAAGATACAGGGTGGTGCTTAAGACTGTAGGCAATCTTAAAATTCTGTATAAAGTTGAAGCCTGGTCAAATGAAGTACCAGTGTTTATCTTGTTACTGTATAAAAACACATTTTTGTTAACTGCTTTCTCACCACTTCTGAGTGAATGGAAAAACTTTGTTTGGTTGTAGCTGTGGTAAGAAACAAGGTGAGAGCACTTGTTCTAGGTTTGCAAATTAGCTCCCTTATTTCCTTAAAGTCACTTTTATCTTTCATTTTTTTTATCTACAGATGGTAATAGTGGTTGGAGATGTCCAGCTTGTCAGAATGCCTCTACACAAGTTCCCAAAACTTACACTTGTTTCTGTGGTGAGTTTCTTGCTTGCTTTTGCAAGGAAAAACAATTTTGTCATTTTGATTCTTTTTTTTTTAATTTGAATTCTGATATTGCTGCTTGTTTGCCTACATCCCTGAAATTTAACACTGTTTAAAACTTCCTTGACACTGGAAGGTGGTTGTGCAGAGAATGTTGCTTAAAACATTTAAAAAATAAAATATTAAATCACAAGTGATAAATATTTCAATATAATTATATAAAAATTGTGATTTTTTTTTTCTAGCGTGATGATAGAATTGGACTGCTATTCTACAAGCTTTCCTTCTGTAGTAGGACTGAAATAACCTGGATACATTATGTCTTTCTTTGTGGCAAGATACACCAAAATAATACACAGTTCAAGTATCTGACTATCTAAACCTTTAAATGATTTTGCAACTTTGTCATTTGTATTGATCGGGGACACGTACAGGTTAAACAGGAAATAATATTGAGAAATAAATCTTCTGGAGCTTGATATTCCAGTGGTATTTACTTTTAAGTAAGTTGAATGTATATCAGCACTGAAAACTGAGAAAAACATAGAACATCTTTGTGTTGCTTTGTTTTTCAAAGGCAACTACTGACAGTACTGAAAATACAGCTTTTTCTTTTTGGTGTTTTGGATAGTTTTCCCAAATTCAGTATTTGTATTCAAGGTAATAAATATGTTTCTGTCTTTGACATGGTTTAGGTAAAGTGCACAATCCCGAATGGAATAGAAATGAAATCCCACATAGCTGTGGGGAACTTTGTGGAAAGAAGAGACAGTGTTTGGACTGTCCACATCTTTGTAACATGTAAGTAAATGTTTATCATATGAATAGTGAAGTGATCTAGAGAAAATTTCCAAAGACTGTATTTGGATATTTTTTTACTATAGGATATGCTTAAAGGTGTATTTAGTTTATAGCTCAACTGAAGCCTGGAAGAAGTACACGATGTTTGTGTTTCTAAGTCTAAAGTGAGTTCATATGAGAGAATAAACAAGGGGTCAACAACAATAGTTGGAGCAACATTTCTGTCTGTTTTAGGAATTGAACTAGCTGCCTGGTTTGTTTCAAGAACTTTAATTAAAGCAGAGAAATAATAGTGAACAGAAGTAATTTTAAACGTGTACCCAGTGATCCACCAGATGTTTTAGGTGTTGCTTTTCCTAGAACAGTGTTTGTATATCTTAATCTAAGAGTGGTGGTAAGTTGTTTCAACTGAAGGACTGCTTACTTCTTTCCTTTGTTTCTTTTCTGTTCTTTGGCTTGTAAACTGTTGAGGATAAGAGGGTGTTGTATGTATTTATCTATGTGTTGAGACCACCAGAAGGTTGAACCAGAATCCCTCATGGAGATCTTAGTATACAAAACTCATATTGTTTTTGCTAACTTTTATTAGTATAATTCAATGAAGAGAGGCAAAGAAGAGCAATTCTGTTTTCAGTGTTTTCCTTTAGGTTTTTTTTCAGCAGTGTGGTAGCATTATATTGATAAGGTTAACAGCACTGGACATGCTTTTTCAATGTATAAATCTGCTTGCTAGTCAGAAAAATAAATGCTATGTTGTTCCTAGTGTATCTAGCTTCATTTTCCATGTATGGAAGTTGTTCCATAATGCCTGTTCATATATCTGTTTTGAGAAATTTTTAATAGTCAGAAACAGTTGTTTCTGCTCTTGGTGTACATTCAAAAATGTCAGTCATTCCAGCAGATAGGTTGTCATCTTACACTTTTTTCAAGGTTTACTCACATTCAGAACTTCCCTAGAACTTTACTCCAAACTTTTTATTTAATGCATTGTTTCAAGCCTATTTCAATATCTTGTTGAATAACATTTCTTTACTCTTTAATACTTCTTTCCCACACCTGAAAATATTCTATCTGATTTCTTTTCAGACTATCATTTCAGTGCTCTAGCTGTTTTCTTAACTTATCATTGTACTAGTTCCTCTTCTCTGTGGTTTGCAGGGTAAAACTGAAACACACATCAGCTTTCGAACTACACTTGAAGTAGCTGATATCCTGATTTAGCAGAACACTGATTCTCTTGGAGGCCAGCTGCTGGCCTCCAACTCAGGAGGGGCATGTGTCTGTAGAGGACTCTGTCCAGTCAGAAGTAAGCAGACACCTTAACTACTTTGAGAACTCCCTGACTGCAATTTACTACCTGACAAACTTTCCTATAGTGCTTGAAAGAAACAGCTGTTCTTTTCCTCTTCTTTCCTGTTCCAGTCTACAGGAGAGGCTCAGTCTCTGGCATTCTCTTCTGGGAAGTCTTCTGAACAATAGTGGCAATATTGTGCCTATTGCAAGTTACGAATTCGTAGTTTCTGGTAGACTGATCTGCATCAAAAGCTGTTTGCTACCAGTTTTAAGTTGTAGCAAATTTTAAAGTATTATTCAGCACATTCCACATGAGTAAAAATCCATGCTGAGATCATCCAGTCCTGGAGGTAAAGGAAACAGTGAGGGTGCAGATCAAGATCGTGGAAGGTTTTGGTACTCTCTGATTTGCGATAGTGACCTGGAGAGGAATACGCTTTCAGCAACTATGATACCCAATTTTGGACATTCCTCAGTATATGTTGGATACTTCGTCCTCCTGTAGTGGGTAAGGACTGAGCAGCAACCATGCGCCACCGAGTGCGACGTGGCTGCTCCCTTCCCCCATTCCCTCTTCCCAGTGAGGTCGGGGAAAGACTGAAAAAAACTCGTGAGTTGAGGTAACGACAGATTTAATAATAAAACATAGGAAAAAGAGAAGATAAAAACAGCAGCAATATTAATAGAAATACACAATGGCAAACAGCTCAGCACTGAAGCACCGCCCAAACCCCCGCCCCACCTCTCCCGCCTAGCTTCCTCCTGTATTCCGGGCATTCAGCGTGGAAAGAAAACGGAGGCAGACTTGCTGCCTCTCCTGCACATTACCTTACAGGAAGAGGAGGAACAACTCTTACTGGTGGCATTAGAAACACTGAGTTCAAAAGTAAAGCCACCAATTCAAAAGAAGAAATTAATAGAAAAGTTTTTGTCTCTAATCCATTGAAAACCACCAAAGAAAGGAATGTATTAGTGGTTTGGACATGTGATATTTGTTTGGAGTGTTGAGTTGGTGCATGTGTGCTGTTGAAATGCAAAATATGATATGTGTTAGTAATACTTCTAGTTAGGAGATGTGTGCGTGCCTGCAGGGGTATGATCTTATTGGCATTACGGAGATGTGGTGGGATGGATCCTACCTCTGGAGTGTTGGAATGCAGGGATACAGGCTCTTTAGGAAGGACAGGCAGGGGAGACAAGGAGGGGGTGTCACCCTCTACGTCAAAGACCACCTGGAGTGCATGGAGCTCTGCCTGGGGATGGATGAGGAGCCAACAGAGAGCTTGTGGGTCAGGATCAAAGGGAGGGCACGGACAGGTGACATTATAGTGGGGGTCTGCTCCAGGCCACCTGTCCAGGGAGAGCAAGTGGATGAGGCCCTCTACAGACAGAGAGGAGCAGCCTCACGCTCACAAGCCCTGGTCTTCATGGGGGGTTTCAACCACGCTGATATCTATTGGAAGAACAACACAGCACAGCATAGGCAGGCCAGGAAGTTCCTGGAATATGTTGATATTCCTTCTCCAAGTGCTAGAGGAGCTAACCAGGAGAGGGGCTATGCTGCACCTTGTTCTCACCAACAAGGAAGGGCTGGTGGGGAATGTGGCACTCAAGGGCAGCCTGGGGTGCAGCGACCATGAGATGGTGGAGTTCGAGATCCTCAGGACAGTGAGGAGGGTGCACAGCAAACTCACTACCCTGGACTGTAGGAGACCTGACTTTGGCCTCTTCAGGGACCTGCTT